GCAACGCAACGCGTAAAAAGACAGTATAAGTCATTATAATCCGTAATTATGTCCCCACTGGATGCAACAAATGCCTAGTTTATAATGGGTTTTAATGTTTTTGTCTCGTCGCTCCGCCGGGGACATGGCATCACAATATGGGAAAGGGGCGTAACATTTCCGTCACACGCTTGTGGTATTTGGCCAATCACAACGCACTGGATAGCTGGCCAATCAGAACTCGCTTTTCAGACTGATGAGCTTTGTAAAAATCGACGCGTTTCAGAAAGGCGGGGCATAGAGGAGATGTTCCTCATTCAAGCCCGCTGGCCGCCGCTCACTCTAGCCCGCCGGCCGTTCCTCACTCTAGGCCTCCGGCCCTTTAAGTTTGGCTTATGTCTGTTGTAAGAAGATCTGGTAATTTTTCTAATCTACAGTCATTGCATAACCATCTCAAACAAGATTATCATCATTTGCAAATTACTGCTTTCTTTTGCCAGCAGAAGCTGGCCTTACCAACTTCTCTTGTTTTAGTTAACAAGGCCACAATAAGGAAAAGGAAAAGCAAGACGACTCTTGGATCATCTTTTGAGGTAAATTGTAACTCTACCCTCTTTCCTATCACAGGAGAACCAGAAACTGAGGGAACAGAATGAAGATCTAAATGGTCAGCTTCTCAGTCTGAGCCTCCATGAGGCCAAAACCCTGTTTGCCACACAGACAAAAGCGCAGTCTCTGGCCATGGAGATTGATCATGCCTCCCGTGACCAGGTAAGATAAGTGAGGACTTTGATTTGAATATTGTAAACAAAGAGTACATAACTTTGATCTACTGATAAAGCTGATTAATGCTAGAGGAAGCCTATAAATAAAAACACCTTTTAATGTGTACCAGTGAGTAATAGAACAGTATGAAGCACTTTTTTTCTGGAACGTTCTCTGAAAAGGGCCTCTGGTGCCATTTACAATATAAACAAAATATATGAATTTTGTGAGGTTCTTAAAGGAATAGTTCACACAAAAATGAAAATTACGTGATTTACTCACTTTCATACCATTCCAGTGGAGGAGGAAAAAACAAACAAACAAAAACTAAACCCTACTAATGAATGAGCTTTCTGTCTTCTGAGGAGCACAAAAGGAGAAATAAAATAGAATGTGTTTCGAAATGTTCATTAGCATAATTGGGACAAAAGTTTTCTGAAACCACCAATAACAGCAACAGGTCAACCTATGAGGTACAGTTCAAAATGAAAGTTGTATGTGTATGTTAATCTTGACCTTCTCAGTAGTTCTCAAATCTCATTCAAATGTTTTAATTTTCCGCAAACTTTCCATTTTATTGGAAACTTGTAATGCATTGACAGGTTTTGGAGACCTGTCCAATTAATCGGTCCAATACCATTCTAAAATTGTTTTGATTCCCACAGTTGATGGAAGCCCTCAAGGAACAAGAGGAGATAAACTTCCGACTCAGGCAATACATGGACAAGATAATTTTATCTATTCTGGACCACAACCCGTCTATTCTGGAAATCAAAAACTAAAAGCCTGTCATAAGCTGTTTAAAAACTTAACAGTGGATCTAGAGCTCCCCCTGAGGTAGCGCTGAACGTCAAATGACTTGTGCCTCTGAATGCACAATATCTACAATGTGCTGGGTGTTTTGTGCACCTTTCTCATGCTACAAAAATCTAAAATATTCTGGTGAAATATTTCATGCACTTTTTAAGGGCATTTTTGCTGCTCTGTACAACACAAAGGAGTTTTAACTGGAATGTCATTATGGTTACTGAATTGCACCAACTAATATGTGAATATATGACACTGGATGTTTTCACGGTGTATTTGCATTATATGGATGGTGTATGTTTGCTGAGTTTGCACTGGGATGTGATGAGAAAGGTTGAATGATAAAAAAAAGAGAAATAACTACCTATTTGATGGACATCGAAGCCTGTCCCATTCATAATTGCAGAGTATGATCAGAGGAAAGAGACTTTTATATGGCATGTGAGGGAACGATGTAAGGAAAGACAAATTAGAAGAATAGGGGAGAGGAAATTGAAACTGGAACTTGATAACACCGCCTGTTGTAAAAGAAATACATTTTAGAGCAGGGCAGTGCTCTAGTCTGTGTTTGCAATGTAAAGGTGAGATGTTTATTCTGATATTACATGCAGTATGTTTGATTCAAAAAGGAGTGAAAATGCTAGAGGATGAATGTAAAATGTCATTGTGAATGTACCAAACAAGTATTTAAGGTTATTTACAGGCTTTAGCATTAGACCTGTCTGTTCATCAGCTGAATTATGTTCTTAATAGCCTTAAAGAACTTGGACTTGTTCTTCCAAACTAAAATAATATTCAGTTAATAATTTCAAATGCAACATTCTCATGATTTTCTATAATGTGATTTAAATACAAATAAACATGTACATCAGATAATGCAAATCTAAAACACACAAAACTTACATTTGTGTTCCTATCCCAGGAAGGTTTCATATATTGAATGTCAGACATTTTTTAAATGTAAAATTCATCTAAAAATGGCGTTTTTTTTTTTTTTTTTTTTAAAGAGTATCCTAAAAGTGTCCCCCACAGATCTTTTATTCAGTCAATAGATTGTATGTGATGACAATATCAAGCATCTGATTTATTCTGTGCGGATCTAGGCCTACATTCAGTATATGTAATTCTGTAAATTCGATTTTTTTTCTCACATAAATACCTCCCATTTCCTTGTAGCTTTGTGGTTTTTCACTCATCAGTTAAACCCTCAAGTAGACCTTTTTTTTTCAGTCACACATTAAATAATTGCTGAGCTATATTACACTTTATACATGTGTGTAGGACTTGTAAATGATGTAAAGAAATTACCTTTTTACTTGTGCCACTCATTGATTTTACATTGTTTCTCAGTTTATTTCATGAATATTTTTAGTCGTGGAAACACCATAACAAGTATCTTATTATTTCTTATTCTCTTTATATTTATAAAGGAGGTGCTGGAGAAGGCGGCAGTATTCGTTTTGCTTGTTTATGAGAGAGCAGACTAACTCACAACATGCTGAATGGTGACACACTTTAATCCAAAAAAGGGATATCTGTACACTTGCACAAAATGTATACCAATTGCATTTCATTTTCTGCATAATAGATTAATCTGAAATGCCTTAGCAATACTTATGACTGTGGGCTTATTTCTGTTTCAGATCTAAATTAGATCAAGATGTGCATATAGGCATTTACTTTTGCATGTCAGATGTTACTGAATACTGAACTTGAACATGAGAAATTAACAAACTGATCTTTTAAAATAAAACAATACAAAATTCCATATGTGGCTTAAAGGGTTTGGTATATACAGTACATGACACTGTATTCAAGACTGATGCAAATAATCAGACATTAAGAGAGGTTTATATAATATGAACATTTCATTTATGAATCTCGTAAGTGATGTACATGTGTCATAAACAGAGCAAGAGTCATATACGTCATGATACAATGGATATATTAAAAAAATAAAATAACATGATAAACAAGGAAAAGCAAAGCATATCACAAATAACAGGAGCAATGAACACCTGCTATTGTCATGTCATGCTATAGCCTACAATTTACATAAGCTTATTATTTTTGCAGAAAGGTAGAAATATACATGGTCAAGGTATGTTCACTAGGATAGTTGGAACTGTTAATGTCGTTAAAACAAATATCATTTGCTGGAATACAGGCATTTGCCTACAAGACATATTTTTACTTAATACTTTGAATAACAATCTTAATACTTTATATTGTTACTGTTCCTTGCTTTCATTACAGCTGGTTTGTGATTGTAGCTCCGTGTAGCTTTGTTTTTCTGTAAAATCTCTATCGCTTTCTGTTGTTTAAAGTGATAAAATATAACTTAATTCCCACCATATTTCTGATATTATCTATCAACCTAATCTGATTAATTTGATCGTCCGCTTTTATTCTAAAACCGCGAGTGCAGCGCACCTGCAGCGCGTTAGCATTCGTTAGCTTGTCATTAGCGTTTCCATTCGTGCCTATTGCTGTTTTCTTTTCTTTTTTTCTCTCTCTCTCGCTCAGTTTATTTTGTTAAAAGCGCTATATAAATAAAGGTGACTTGACTTGACAAAGAAGCTTAAATGCAATGGTGAAACACACTTGCTCTTGAGCTGATATTTCTGAGCTAGGCCTAACTAACGTTTATTGTTCTGTTGGGTTGCAGGTTATATTTAGTCTGTACTGTTTTATTTAACACCGAGACTATACTGAACAAACGTATACAGTCATAGTATAACAAAGGTGACATAACCCAACATAATATATCTAAAAAAAGGTTGCATTTATATCTGTTAAACATTTGCAAGTCACATTACTTCCTTTGGCGTCTCTCAATCCTCGTGACTACGACGTTAGCTCTGGTTAAATGTTATAATGCTCCAATAGCACTTCATGCTATTCATCAATATTAAAAGTGTCTGAGTTCAGAGTACCCAGGCGTCCCAGTTCTCAATGAGACTTTACAACACCCTACAAAGTAAAACAATGGCAAGAAGAGCGTTTAAAGCCCACATATTAACGCTTTATCATGTGGTGTTTGCTTTGACCATTCGAGGGCGCTGGTTGCTTTAGCAGTTTCAACTCCGTTTAATTGTTTCACTCAGAGAGTCAGTACTTGCTCGCGGTAGTTTTTTTTTTACCACAGTGAAAGTGAAAACTGGACCACAGTGAACGGCCGCCGCAAGAGCATCATCTTCATTCGCCATCGTATCACTAATTACGAGCAATAGTTTTGACGCAAACGAGGTCACCGCCGTGAGTTCAAAAATCTGAATAGTTAAGTTTGTTAATGATGACAAAACGTAGGCTAATTTAGACAATGACAGATTGTCATGCACTATCACAGTAACGTACAAGGGAGACAGGGTTGTTTGGCACAGGGATGACAACTAACTAATTAATTGATACAGAAAACGTCAACAAAACCCCTGTCCAAAAGGGGGAAGAGATCCAAATGTACAAAATAAAAAAAAACGAATTACGCCTGGCTCAAGTGAATTTGGATTTCTACAACATTAGATAACTTTGAAAAATAAAAAACGAGTTAAATCAATTGCATTTGGGATAGTCAATGACAATTTGAAATTAATGTTGGAAAAAAAAAACAGGATTACCTTTGTGAAAAGTCAAGTAATGTATCCAACACTACCAGAATGGAATGTTCATGTGTTGTTTGCCTTTAACAAATTTTTTTACATTTTGAACGTCTTTGGAATGGGTCCGATTTATTTATGCTGTAGTGGACAACCAGTTTGCTGATGCCGAAGAATAAGGCTGTTAGTTCCTTGTATACTGTATGTGCTTCCTTACAGAAAATACAGATACAGAAAATATTGTAAATTTGTTTATAATCTACTGAGCTCAGGCTAATTGTAATAACTTGAGGAGGCATGAGATCTGTTCAAGAGTGCATTTACTCAGCGGAATGCATCAACCAGCAGTACACTCAATCACATCACAGGTAGAGTCAATTTACACAGACACCAAGTTCTTCTCTGCTGCTTTTTAAGCAAATACCAACACAGCTTTAGCCTGCCCTCTACAGGTCATCACTACAACTGACACTTCATTGTCACTCTACAACATCCCTTTTCCCCCAAGCTTACATAATAATCACAATGCTATTTCTCTCCACAAAAAAATATATATAACTACAGTAACATTACAACTAGCATCACAATTACATAGGTAAAAAAATAGCCTCACAGTTTACAATTCACTTTTTTTTGTTACATTTTTTTCTCTTTCCCCCCCCCCACTTTTTTCAGTCTTCAATTCACATTCAATATTACTTCAGTTCATAATCTTTCAAAAGGGTAGGCAACTTCCTGGTTCTTTGTGCGTCTCATAATTACAACAGGACTAGCAGGTTTGTTCATTTCAGTGATTATCTCCGAATGTTGAGAGGAATCCCCAGATGCTTCAGAGGGATTAGTTTCACTAGAAATGTCCTCAGTCTCTGTTCCCTCAGTCTCTTTAGCAACTACAGGTGTTGAGTTTCCAGGAATGTCGAAATCAGGGAATTTACAGTCCATTCCCTCTTCTGAAGTGTTTACAAGCAATTTCTGTCGGGCATGAATTTGATCCACATGCCGTCGAACCACTCGTCCATCGCCCACCATTACTTTATAAGAAAGTGGTCCAGTCACAGTCGCTATATGACCCGGAATCCATTTCGGTCCATAAGTAAAGTTCCGAGTAAGTACTGGATCTCCAACACAAAAACTCCGTTCACGGGCCTTTTTATCATGATAGATTTTTTGCTTTTGTTGTTGTTCATGAATTTTCCTTGTCAAATCAGGATGCATAAAGTCCATTGAACAGCGTAATTTCCTTCCATACAACATTTCCGCTGGAGAGAGCCCTGTGGTGGTCTGGGGAGTGATCCTGTAACTGTATAGAACTTGAGACAATTTAGTTGCAATTGTTCCATCAACACATTTTTTTAGCATGGTTTTCACAATTTGGACAGCCCGTTCCACTAAACCATTACTAGAAGCATGGTAAGGTGCAGAAGTAACATGCCGTACTCCATTTTTATGAAGGAACTCTTTGAATTCGGCACTAATGAAGCAAGGACCATTATCTGATACAATCAGTTCAGGTAATCCATGGTTACTGAAGCTCTTCCGCAAACATTCAATAGTGGAGGCAGATGTGGCTGAATTCACTGGATACACGTCCATCCATTTTGAATGTGCATCAATCAAAACAAAGAACATTTTTCCCATGAACGGTCCTGCATAATCCACATGCAAACGTTGCCATGGTTTGTCCGGCCAATTCCAAGGATGCAGTGGGGCAACAGCTGGAACATTCCTATGCTCTTGGCACGTACAACAGGTTTTAACCAGCCTTTCCACATCCTGATCTAACTTGGGCCACCACACATAACTTCTGGCCAAAGCTTTCATCCTAGACACCCCTGGATGACACTGATGCAACTGTTCAAGAACGTCTTGTCTACCCACACTGGGAATGATTACTCGGGCCCCCCAAAGCACACAACCATCCTGTACGCTTAATTCATCTTTCCTTAATGTGAATGGGTCAAACTCCGTCCCTGTTAATTCATGCAAACATCCGCGTTGCACGGTTTCTCTTACCCGAGATAATACTGGATCTTTTCTTGTCCACTCCCTCACCTGTTCTGCTGTAATCAGGGTGATATCAGCATTCTCCAGCATTAGAACTCTTTCCTCCTGCTTGGTGGAAGATTCCATTGGCAATGGTAGCCGAGGTGTTGAGTTTCCAGGAATGTCGAAATCAGGGAATTTACAGTCCATTCCCTCTTCTGAAGTGTTTACAAGCAATTTCTGTCGGGCATGAATTTGATCCACATGCCGTTGAACCACTCGCCCATCGCCCACCATTACTTTATAAGAAAGTGGTCCAGTCACAGTCACTATATGACCCGGAATCCATTTCGGTCCATAAGTAAAGTTCCGAGTAAGTACTGGATCTCCAACACAAAAACTCCATTCACGGGTCTTTTTATCATGATAGATTTTTTGCTTTTGTTGTTGTTCATGAATTTTCCTTGTCAAATCAGGATGTATAAAGTCCATTGAACAGCGTAATTTCCGTCCATACAACATTTTCACTGGAGAGAGCCCTGTGGTGGTCTGGGGAGTGATCCTGTAACTGTATAGAACTTGAGACAATTTAGTTGCAATTGTTCCATCAACACATTTTTTTAGCATGGTTTTAACAATTTGGACAGCCTGTTCCACTAAACCATTACTAGAAGCATGGTAAGGTGCAGAAATAACATGCCGTACTCCATTTTTATGAAGGAACTCTTTGAATTCGGCACTAATGAAGCAAGGACCATTATCTGATACAATCAGTTCAGGTAATCCATGGTTACTGAAGCTCTTCCGCAAACATTCAATAGTGGAAGCAGATGTGGCTGAATTCACCGGATACACGTCCATCCATTTTGAATGTGCATCAATCAAAATAAAGAAAATTTTTCCCATGAACGATCCTGCATAATCCACATGCAAACGTTGCCATGGTTTGTCCGGCCAATTCCAAGGATGCAGTGGGGCAACAGCTGGAACATTCCTATGCTCTTGGCACGTACAACAGGTTTTAACCAGCCTTTCCACATCCTGATCTAACTTGGGCCACCACACATAACTTCTGGCCAAAGCTTTCATCCTAGACACTCCTGGGTGAGACTGATGCAATTGTTTAAGAACTTCTGGTCTACCCACACTGGGAATGATTACTACCCACACTGGGAATGATCACACAACCATCCTGTACGCTTAATTAATCTTTCCTTAATGTGAATGGGTCAAAGTCCGCTCCTGTTAATTCATGCAAACAAATTCATCGGGTTTCTCTTACCCGAGATAATACTGGATCTTTTCTTGTCCACTCCCTCACCTGTTCTGATGTGATCAGGGTGATATCAGCATTCTCCAGCATTAGAACTCTTTCCTCTTGCTCGGTGGAAGATTCCATTGGCAATGGTAGCCGGCTAAGAGCATCTGCGTTGCCATGATCTTTGCCAGCCTTGAAGATGTTGTAGTATTCGTATGCTCTCAGGGTCACAGCCCATCGCTGGATTCTAGGAGAGGACATTTGGGGAACAGCTTTTAACTCGTTAAATAAAGACAACAAGGGTTTATGGTCCGTAACGATTGTAAATTTTCGACCATACAAATACTTATGGAAGTGCTGTAAGCCAAACATTACAGCCAACCCTTCTTTGTCCAACTGCGAATAATTCCGCTCAGCTTGATTCAATGTTCGTGACATAAATCCTATGGGTCTTTCATTTCCATCAGGCATCTTATGCGAAAGAACTGCACCTAAGCCATAAGGAGAAGCATCACATGATAAAATCACATCCTTCTGGAGGTCATAATGGACCAGAACTTGTCCGTTGTGAATCATTTTTTTAGACTGAGCAAAAGCAGCCTCTTGTTCCCCAGCCCAGTTCCATTTTACCTCTTTTCGCAGCAACTTGTGCACAGGGGCTAAAACAGTAGACAGGTTGGGCAAGAACTTATTGTAATAATTTAAAAGTCCTAAATAAGCCTTCAATTCTGTCACATTCTTTGGTGAGGGAGCATTTTGAATAGCTGTCATCTTTTCTGGTGCGGGATGGAGGCCTGTGTCATCCACCTTATGACCTAAGAAACCTAAGAACTTTTCCATGAAGGTACATTTACTCCGTTTCAACTGCAGTCCTGCTTCCTGCAATCTATCCAATCTATCCACAAGAGTTTGGAGATGCTCTTCATCATTACGACCGGTTACCAGGATATCATCAAGGAAAACTGCCACATGTGGAAGACCTTGCAGTACCCCCTCAATGGTCCGTTGGAAGATGGCGGGGCTAGAAGAGACTCCAAAAGGTAAAACACGATAAGTAAATAGGCCTTTGTGGGTATTCACTGTGACATATTTCCTGGACTCTGCATCTAATGCAATCTGATGATAAGCATGGCTCATATCCAATTTTGTGAACTTCTGTCCCCCCGACAAAGTTGCAAACAAATCCTCTATCCGAGGAATGGGGTACTGTTCCAACTTTGAAACTCTGTTTACCGTTAGCTTATAGTCCCCACATAGACGTATGGTATTATCAGACTTTAAAACAGGTACTACAGGTGCAGCCCATTCAGAGTGTTTAACAGGTTCTATGATGTGTTCTCTTAACAGGCGTTCTATTTCAACTTCAACCTTTGCCTTCATTGCATAAGGGACCGGTCGGGCTTTGAAAAACCTTGGGACCGCTTCCTTATCTACATAAATCTTCGCTGGTGGACCCTTCAATTCCCCCAACTCCTCTTTAAACAATTCTTCATGTTGGCTAAGGACTTCAGGCAAAGTTAAATTGTTCACCCCTTGCATCCTATGTAGGGCCTCCCATTCCATCCCCAATTCCTTAATCCATCCTCTGCCCAATAAATTGGGTCCTGTTCCGGGTACTACCACTACCGGTAACTCCTTCACTGTGCCTTTGTATCGGACTTCTACTTGTGCAGAACCCAACACGGTTAGAACTTGGCCAGTGTAAGTCTTTAAATTCAAAGAACAAGTCTTTAATTTAGGAATTTTATCTGTTTCCCACAATTTGGCAAAGTTGGACCCATTCATTATTGTCACCCCTCATCCGGTTTCCACTTCAATCTGTGCATTTGACT